AATAAATTATATGTTAATGAAAATTTGATTGCTGCAGACTGCACATCATTTTTCATTCATAATGACTTTATTATTTTTACCACATTGAGTCATGTCGTAAGATTTTTACCTATTCATAATTTACTAGGTAAATTTTCATTATTAAATACCCCTAATTCATTTAAAAATTTTATGTTTATTTTTTAATAATTAACACGTATTTAAGAATCAGATCTAAAAGTTCTAGATAGTGTAACTCAACCTTACGATGAAAGTGTAAGGAGGGTTGAAAGAGGCTCAAAAATTATATGTGCTGCATATTATGATGTATTCTTGATACTACAGGTAAGATAATTATGTGTCAATGTTGTATTTAAACCTCACATATACAGTGTGATAAAGAATATAAACTCATTTAGATGCCAAGAGGAAATCTAGAGACTATATATCCACGTGCTTTGGTCTTAGCATCAGTCCGAGATTTTCTTGATAAGTATGAATAACTTTTTTTGCTGTTATCGTCCTATTAAATTTCTTTTTTAGGTTTAAATTGATGTTAATTTATTTCGTAGATTTGATTATTTATCAGCCTATAAAGCGTGCCGAAAACATCGAATTGATCTAAATATTTTATATGACCATAAACCTGATTTATTCTTGAAAAATGTTCAATCTTTTGTTACTCAAATCACAAAAGTTGACTATTTGAATTTATTTCTGTCAAGTCTAAGGTACCATTTCTTTGTAAAAAATAATAATAATAATTATCATTAAACAAAGTACCGGTGTTTTATTTTACAGCTTTTTATACTTATAAATTATTTTATTAGAAATGAGGACGTTACAATAACAATGTATTCTCAAATTGGAATTGGTTCTAAATCTTCTTCCTCTTCTACAGAGTAATTAAATATTATAATATTTTAATTTTTTTCATGTTCTCAGTTTTGATTTTATAACTAAAAATATGTTTATATTTCAATACTGCATTTAGTTTACACGATGTGTCCACAAAAGTTAATACAATATGTGATGCTGTACGTGCTGTTTTAAAATCAATGGACACCAAAATATATCTCCAATCGATAATAACATCATATGTTCGAAAAACACCACCTGATTTGGAATCTGCATTAAATTTACTAGCAAAATTAAAAGGCTTGTGAGATTCACTTTTTTGAATTATCTGTTCCTCCCAATTACAATCATTAAAATATTTACATTATTATAGATCAAGATATGGATTTAGCAGAAGATGCAATCAAATTTGCAATTTTTTTGGTTGATGCGGATCGGCTTTTTGATGTCGCTTTGGGAATGTACGATTTCAGTCTTGTTCTCATGGTTGCTCAACAGTCGCAAAAGGTATTCTCTTATGTTTTTATGTTTTATTAATTGGTAACGTTATTGACAGGAACATGTTATGTAGGATCCTAGAGAATATTTACCTTTCCTAACAGAACTTGAGAGTTACCCAAAATATTATCAGCAATTTAAAATTGATGACCATCTCTGTCGTTATGAAAAAGCATTGCGAAATTTAAATTTGGCGGGTAATGTGATGAATTATATTCGGTTAAATTAACACAAGTACTTTATTAACATTTGATATCGTTTATTTATATTAGGAGATGAGTATTTTGATGATTGCTTGAAATATATTCGTGAGCATGAATTATATAATTCTGCAATATCGATTTTTGCAAACAATAATGAGAAATATAAAGTATGCGTCTTTTTTAGGTTTATTTATTTATTTATTTAAATTATTATGATTTTATTGACGATTATTTAAAGGTTATCATGGCCATTTATGGGCATTATTTATTTACGGAATCAAAATTTAAAGAGGCTGGCTTAGGTATTAATGGTGTCCAAGTTTCATAATACCTTTTTAGATTAATTTGCAAACATCTTTGTTCATATTTGAGCACTTTATTGCTATAGCATATATACTCGCCGGAGATAAACCGAAAGCACTTGATTCATATAAAAATTGTGGGTCGTGGCACGAAGCTTTTGCTATCGCACAAGAGTTAAATAGCTCTTCTGATTCTTTATCCGTTTTGGCCAAAAGTCTTTCGGGTTCGTTGTTACTACTCAATTACGATTTTTTTTTTGGTAGCTGAATTCGTATAAATGTATTTTGTTATTTTGTTAGAAACACTTTCGGATAAAAGGCAATATCAAGAAGCTGCTCAAATAATATTAGATTATACTAAGGTGATTATAATGTTATATTAATGAGTTGTTTTTTGCATTTAGATTAATATTTTTTGATCAATCTCTAAAATATCCAGCAACCAGAAGAATCGATTATTTTATTGAACAAAGGTCGTCACTGGGCGGAGTCAATACGTATAGTAAGTGCATTTCGTTCTTATATGCTTACATTGATTAATATCTTAATCCGTTATATATTGCCATAATTCTAAAGAATTTTCAGTAATAATTGCTCGTAACACTTTTAACTGATTCTAATTTGTTATTTGTATAGTCCTATATGTATAGTAGAACCGATTTGATTGAAACTAACATTAAGCCAAGTATAATTGAAGGTATAATCCATAATTATTTATAACCTTTCATATAAACATTATTTATAATATCATATATAATATAGGTTATACTCAGCTACTTCAAGATGTGAATTCAATGTTAGATCAATTGAATCAACAAACAAACAGACTAAAAGAAATTAGGGCAAATAAAGCTAATCAATTGAGCAAGTACTTAAACTGTTTCTTTGCATACCCTATACATTGATATATTATAATTCTCTTTTATCATAAACACAGATTCAGACCTATACCAAAACGAAGAATCAATAGAAAATGCCGATGTATTCTCGGATACAAGTTCCATGGCCAGTGGGTTTACGCGTTATACGCTGTCAAACACTCAATTGAGTGTGAATTCAACAAGAAGCGGGTTAGTATTTCTTAAAAGTGCGCGTATCT